ATGTAGTACAGTATTTTTAAAAGAATACATGAAACGTGACCACAACCAGTCATAAGTATATGAATTTCTCTGTCACTTCATAAACTTAAAGGTCAACAGATATTTTTCTTTTGTAGCCATGAGAGTTATTCTGGCATTTTATTTCAGACTAGTCTGCCTTCTCCAGAAACCTTAGGTCACCTAAACCTCAGGCAAATTAACAAGCTGCCTTCAGGAGAGAGGTTCCACTGGGTCTACTATTTATGGAACAATACTAGTTATCTCTGTGTTTGTGTTACTGGAGTTGCTAAGGTCAGAGCCTGACAGCCCTAACAAAACAGACTCGACTACTCATCCTCAATATGTCAAAGAAAGGGGAAGTGGAGAAATTCTATTCACACACTAAGGCCACACTGGGAAGACCCAGTGGCCCCACCTGACATGAGACTGAGTTTCAAACACAAGGCAGGAGAAGAGGCAAAATAACCAAGCAGTCAGGGCCAACGGGTGTTCATGCCCATCCCTGAATGAGGCAGGACAAACTTTCAGAACGATGTGATATCTTTTTCCAGCAGACAAGTGTCTCCTGTGCCCAGCATCAGGTTTTGGCCTTTCCATTCCCAATATAGACTCTTGGTGGGGGTGGGCGATTCCAATTTCTTTGGTCATTATCTTTTTTTTCTTTAATAATCTGATAGCCAAAGGGAGCCTCACAAGTGCCTTAGAATATATTGACATCTGCAAGCATGGTTGTTAGGTTATAGAGAACAAACGTAAATCATGATTCCAAACACATTGACTTCTCCACATTGACTTCTCCATTCAGCTTCTGGTCATCAGGCCAAGGATCTGACACCCTCGCTGCAGTAACTGTGGTCAGCTGTCCAGAAAAAAGTTATTTGAACTCACGTATTCTGCTTATACAAGCCTGTGAGTCATGACTGGAGAAAATATTTGAAGTCTAAAAAGATGATAAGTGTAGGTCTGCAATCCAGTACTGCGGGAAGCAGAAACAGCGCAGTCAACCCCTAGGACTCGCTGACCAGCCGGTCCACTCAGGGGGGTTCCAGGTACAGTGAGAGAGCATGTCCTAAACAATAAAGTGGAATGGATTAAGAAAAACCCCTCATGATGAACTCTGACCTTCACATACACACATATACAATGAACACTTGCACATACATGTGCACACAGGAACATATATACACATACACACCCACATAAATTATATATTTAGTTTTCAAATAACTTTCTGAATTTTTAAATACACCCTAATTTTCCACAGAAGAATTTGCATATGGTTAACAAAAATAATTATTAATTAATAAAATCTTAAATTTATTAAATAAATAATAAACATCACTTTGAGGGAACCTAACTATATAATTGGAAACAGTGACAGATAAGTACTTCATGTAGATACTGTGTATGTCAATCATGGGCTTGGAATGTAGTTTAGCTGACAGCCTGTTTAAGGTAGTGGGTTGGTCCTCAGTACCACAGTCCTTCCTGGCTACATAGCTAGTTTAAAATGAACTTGGATTAAACAGCCTGTCTTTTGTTTGTTTGTTTTAGAAAAATGAATATGGTAAGTAAATCAGGTGTAAGTCAAATTACAATGGAAGTGAAAACTCAAGAGTTCCTGGATTCTCATCACAGGATCACAGCAAAGGGACTCTCCTGCTTCTGTTTCTATTGCTGCAATAAAAGCAACTTGGGGAGGAAAGGGTTTATTTTATCTCACAGGAAGTCGGGACATGAACTCAGGCAGGAACCCTGAGGTAGGAACTGGAGCAAAACCTATGGCAGAAAGCTGCCTACTGGCTTGCTCAGCCTGCTTTTTTATCCTGCGTAGGAGCAACTGCCCAGGGACAGCCCCACCCACAGTGGTCTGGGCCCTCCCACAAGGACTGATCAAGAAAAATGCCTGCAGACAATCTGACAGAGGCATTTCCTCAACTGAGGTTCTCCTTCCTAGGTAACTCTAGCTTGTGTCAAGTTGACAAAAGCCAACACAGGACAGGAATGGACCTGATTATTGGGCTATCCATCACATTTCGCTTTAACATTCTGGGAATTACTTCTTAAAAATTGTATTTTGTTGAAAATAAAGAGAAAAAGAGAAGTTTTCAAAAGTGAACCTTCACACTAAAAGGTAGCTGATCATAGAACAGCCAGGTACCATAAAGGGTGCCTAGCATTTGGTTTCCATGTTTCAATTTGCTGGAAAGAAGCTGCCTTCAACAGTTATCTCAGCACTTGGTCATAATTTAGGAAGTCAATGGACTTTTTTTCCCCCGAGAAAATAGGGCCAGGCCTGCACTTTGCTAGGATATAGACATATCTACAATACAGTTAGGTTCACTGTGCCCGAGTCTGAAAACTTCCTCTCCCTGTCTTTAAGCTAGACTTCCTACAGTGGGTTTTCCCTTTTAAAGCTGCTCTCAGAAGCTTGTGTGCTTGTCTTACTTTCAAGGAGACAGTTTTCCTGAATCCCTGAGTTCTGTGAGCTCAAACTTAAAAATTTTACCTTGATTTACTTTATTTTTTAGACTTTAAGAGCTAATGAGTTGCACTGATATTTATATGACTTTATGTAGCAAGTTACTACAAGAGTTTGAAAACATAACCAATGACATTAACGATTTTGTGTGCTCAATATGTAAAGCACTGCGTACACTCTTGCTTGACCCATTCGTTCCATGTAGACCTGCTTCTGTGGGTTTTTTTTTTTTGAACTTGTATTCTAGTCAGGAAGCAATTAACAAGGAAAACATAAAGTACCTCTGTCTCAGTCACTGTTCTGTTGCTATGAGGAGACACTGTGAGCAAGGCACCTTGTAAAGAAAGCATTTAATTGGGGGTTTGCTTACAGTTTCAGAAGGTTAGTCCATAATCATCATGGCAGGGGGCATGCCAACAGGTAGGCAGGCATGGCTCTGGAGAAGCGGATCACATCTGATCCACAAGTTGCAGAGAAAGAGAGAGAGAGAGAGAGAGAGAGAGAGAGAGAGAAAGAAATATGGCTAGGTGTAGGCTTTTGAAACCCCAAAGCCCACGCCCAGGGACACATCTCCTAAATTTTCCCAAATAGTTCCACTAACCTGACCAGACAATTGGAAACATTTTGGTTCAAATCACCAGAACACATGATGAAGGTAAGAGTTATGGGGAAAATATGCAGAGAAGAGGAATGGTGAATGGTGTGTACACACACACACACACACACACACACACACACACACGTGCATAGTCATGCACATACCGAGGCTCATGCATGAGTGTTTATGAAAGCTGCACACTTAAGCAAGATACTGATCTATGACAGAGCTTTGTAGAAAGTCAGAGAATCCAGAATGGACTTCTAAGGGCCATTGAACATTTCCTCTGTACAGTCTTGGTGTAGGGATTTCAGCAACACTATGTGTCGGTACATTTGTCGTTCTGGTTTGCAGACAGGAGAACTGAGGTGTGAAAATCTACATACCATGGCTCATGGCACAGCACTTGCAAAGGTTAGGCTAGCATTGAATGCTATATCCTTCACTTACAAACTATCGCCTTTCTCTTTTCAAGTCATCTAGTTATCAATAAAGATGCCCTCATTTACTGGAGCGTACATAATAGGGTTCCAATAATTACAACAGCACTTTTCAAAAGTGATACAGAAGGAAACAGAAAACTGAAGTTACATTTCCTAAGATAAACGAGAGAAATGACATGCCAGTCCCCAGCTGAAGAGGGCTCTTCTAAGCCGCACTTCTCCAGGTACAAAAGTCAGGGAATGTGTCCACTGGCCCTGTAGGAGAGTCATCTTTTAAAGCAACAGACCTGGGACTTCCAGGAGGAGCTAGGAGGAAGGAGCGGAAGAGGGGTGGGTTTAAAAGAGGCAGGCGATGGGATTGACTGCTGTAATTTAACCTTTATAATCTCCAAACTCATTCTTGAATTCTTTGCTTTCGGTAAAATCTCAGCATCACGATTGCACATTTGCACCGAGCTTTTGTTTCCAAGACCCGCTGTCCTCATAGCTCCCACTGCCCTGTCCCTTGTGCATGACCTTCGACCACGAGGCCTGTGGGAAAAGGGTGACTAGTCCAGGATTCCCTCTTCACTCCCTTGACGTCAAACAGGAAACCTCATCCCTGTACCTGAATCGTAAGGTTAGGAACCCGGGCAGGAGAGCGACTGTGTTCTCTAGCGTTCCAACAAAGATACAAACCCAAGCAACCAAAGGGAAGACCTCGCTCAGTGTCAAACACCCATGGTGTTCTTTTCCTCTCCCAAGCCTAAGTACCAGTATTGGAGGAATGGCGTCGGTTGTTAACAACTTTAAGGTCAAGGACCCTTCTGTTGCGCATAGCTCTTAAGTTCTCACTCCTCAACTGCATTTGAAGCATAATTAATAGCATGATAAACTCAAGTTGTGGAAGATTTACTGTCAGAGGCCTCTTCCCTGGGTTCCCCTACAAAGAGCCTGTCATAAAGAGCACTTACTCAACGTTAGAAGGGCTATTAAAAAGCATATTAAAAGCCATCTCCTCGCTGAGCCTCTTATTGGAGTTTCTCTGTGTGGGCATGTTCCTTAGAAAGGAAGTGGGTGGACAAGCGCGCACTGGGTACAATTTGTGTATTTGCAAGAGCGAGCCGATGCTTTCACTGAGGAAGAACATATGTTTCTGAGACTCCATCTGTGCGAAAAAGCGCGTCGTACTGGAGTTGCACTAAGGATAAAATAAGACTTTTTGACGACTTTTCTTTTATACACCTTTCATCGTCAGTGAGCATTTGGAACAGAGTGGCTGAGCCTAATTAACTGGACGTGCTCCTCGCGCCAGGAGGCGAGGTTCCCGGCTGCACCTGTCCTGAGGGCAGCTCCTCCCACAATCCCTCGCGAGCCGAGCGCTGAGTACGTGGGACCTCGGAGGACGTGCTCGCCCCGGGCTGAGTGCGCCTGCTTTGCCGGAGCCACGCCCCTGTCCCCTGCGGGCCCGGGTCCGGGGCGGGGCGGGGCGGGGCTTGCGGCGGGTCCCCCACGCCTCTGGGGCTCTGGCGGCGGCAGGTCCTGGCAGTCGCTCGCCGGTCACCTCGCCGATGTGATGGCGGTCCCGGGCTCCCTGGCCGAGTGTGGCTACATCCGGACGGTGCTGGGCCAGCAGATCCTGGGACACCTGGACAGCTCCAGCCTGGCCCTGCCCTCCGAGGCCAGGCTGAGGCTGGTGGGCAGCAGCGGCCGCGGCGACACGGCGGCCCGGAGCCAGCGGATCCAGGAGCAGGTGCAGCAGACCCTGGCCCGCCGGGGCAGGAGCTCGGTGGTCAGCGGTGAGTCGAGCCCCACCCGCGACGCGCGCCCCGCGGCTCCCGGCGACGGGCCCCGCGGCTCCCGCCCGCTTGCCCACCTACCTGTTGATCCCCGTCCCTTTCAGGACCCGCAGCGCCTCCTGGCCGGCCGCTCGTCTCCGCGGAAACAAACGCTCTTTCTCCTTCAGGTCTACCGTGTTCGTGTGTTAATCACCCCGTTGACTGTTACTGAATCCAGTCTGTTTCCCCCTTCGCCGCCCGATCCGGGTCCGTGCCCCCGGGTTCCGAAAGCACTTGGAAATTGTATGCAGACTTTTGGTGTGCGCGATTGTTCTTCTGTAAGGCAGCTCCTTTTGGCTTTTATTTAGGTGTTTTAGAGTTCACGACTTTTCATAAATATTTTTAGAAAGAAACCTTGAAAGCCCTGCGGCTGCTACATCCCCTAAATTGAGGCAGGGCTACGTCACCCAGGTACTTGAGAGCGCTCCACTTATTATCTGCCGCGCTTGGTCTGGGACGTGAACAAATTGGGCAAGTCGACTTTGGGCCTGGGAACAATCCCAATCCCCTGCCAGAGGATATGAAGGAGGAAGGAGACTTTGGCCGGGCTAAAGGCAGCCGCGCCTGCCCACCTCACACCCACATACCAGCACGGGCACCAACAGATGCGTGGGCGCGTGGGTACAGGACTGCTCTTACCGGAAAAAAAAAATCAAACTAATGCACAGATTAGTTGACAGAAGTGCGGTTGATCAGAAAGATCATCACAAGCTCTAGCGAATGTGCTTCCTATTAGGAGTAATAATACTCACGCGCCAGCCAGTGGATCTCAGACAGCAGAGTCTGGGAGGCTGTACTCTTTTCAGTTTGTCTAAAGGTTAAGGCGGTTGATGTTTGCATACTTGAAAAGTAAAGAGGTGTTTAATGATTGTAAGTTCATGTAACTGAGTGCCTGTAATGCCCCTAATTAGGCTATGTGGTTTGCATTTTATATTATCTTTTTTAAATGAACTAGTTTTTTAGTTTTGTTTTTGCCTTTCTATTATTATTATTATTATTTATTATCATTATTTTGAGATGCAATCTCAAACTTCCTGACTTTGCCTCCCATTTTAGGATTACAGGCAAGAACTACCTGGGGTTCTTTTTTTTTTTTAATCCAAGTTTGGAGATAAGGAAACTAAGCAAATAAATAACACTCGGATTCCAGATAGAAAGTGGCAGAGCTGGTATTTAAACACCAAAACCTGGAGTTTTAAACTGATCCTTGGTTATGGCATTGTTTTGCTTACTAACATAAAATGAGATTATTCGGATCCCACGCTTCCTTGTGACTCCTTCCCATTTTCCTCTAAATAAAACCGAGGAAGTTCTGAGAGGATGAGAAGGGTCACCTAAGAAAGAACTGCTTTAGTCCCTGGGTAGAAGACCCAAAATTTAGGGTTAGGAGTCTGGCTAGAGATTTTAGGATAGTGAGGCCAGTATTTGGCTAGGCGTATCATTGCATACTGTAGTCTGAATGCCCTCATGCCCAATGCTAGACTGGACTAAAGCAGCCTCCTCTGTTCAGGGAACACAGTGCATATTAAAGATATGTTCTTGTCCTAGAGTAGCAAGGCCAGAAGAGCAAGCAGGCATCAACTAGTCAAAAATGGCGGGGTCCCTGTGGAGCCGAAGGCAGCAGGAGCGGAGTTTGCTAAGCACCTATCATGACAGACTGTTGTCTACAAGCTCATGTATTCCGTTTTCTTATATCCTTAGATGGCATTGAGAGGCAGATGAGACAGATATGGTGATTCATGTCAAGTGTGAGGTGTGTGTCCATCAACAGTTGTAGGATGTTTGGTCCAGGCACCACAAACTGCTCTCTCCAAACCATACAGGAGCTGTTCGGTGAATTCAGCCCATGCCACTGAATGTGTTTATTTTTGCAAGGCATTGTTCGGGTGCTGAGTTAAACACACATAGGAATGCAGCCCTGAATCAAAAGCAATAAGCACACCCAGGGACTAGCAAGGGCGTTAACTTCTCCAAGTTGAAGATAATTTTGCAAATCTCTTCGGAGGAATTGTGATATCCTATACCGAAACCGGGATTTTTTTTGAATCTGAAAAATTCATTACGAGTGTGCAAGGGAGGTAGCTGGAGATATGCCACTCTAGAATAGAGGAGCACAAATATTTCATGGAGTTGATATGGTAGAGCAAAAGGCACAGCTTTGGTGCCTCTGCTCCAGTGAGTGGCTCTTCCAACTAAGGAATAAAGCCCTTGAACTATTTTTGATTACAAGGGCAGCTCTTTGGCAACCTACACAGAAAAGCAGCTTAGGCGCGGGTAAGAGACCCCTGCTTTGAGAAGAAGTCGGCTTCAAGGAGCCAGCTTCCATGTGCTGTGGATCAGCAGCATGAGGGGATTCTCGTGTTTAATGACAGCACTTTGGAAGGGTTTGGGACTCTGGGTAGCTGCACTGTTTTTATAGTTCCTTCTATTTGCATCCTGACTCTATGCTGAAACACAAGCCATGGCTGAACAGGGCTGATCTGGGAAAAGTGACCCAGATGCTACTGCTCTTAGCTCCAGTGCTCAGGAGAATTCTGGATTGTTGACATACCAGGAAGGATGAGGCAGCAGATAGTCTGGCGAAAGAGATGAGATAAACGTAGCAAATTTTAGTTAATACCTTGTAAGGCTCTTTAAGCTTCCGTCTCTTTCTTACAAGCGGCTGTTTTTCCACTGTGAACCACTCACCGACTTTTGGCATAATTTCAAACTCCTGAATATTTAGAAGTCAGTTTTATCAGCCTAGGTGGGGCCAGGTTCAAAGGTAGGTGGCTGCATTATAAAATAGCCATATAGTGTATCAAATTTTAAAAAGTCAAAATAGAAACATTTAAGATTGGCAAAGAGAAATGTATTACACTATAAAATACTATTTTACTTATTACATTGCTATTCTCTCTCGAGTGCCTAAATAGAAAGACACTTTCATTTTAAATTGTGGTGTGTAATGCTTAGAACACTCAGTGAACAGTATTCCAATTCATCTTTGAAAATCTACCATAAAAATGCCCCCCCCCCATCGTGTCTGCTTCTATGATTTCCTGGTGTAGCTACTTTCAGTACTGGCGATTAGTGTGGGTTCTGGAGAGAGAAAGACAAATTCATTCTGGATGTCAAACAGTGCAGTTAACAAAAGCTAAGTGTGGGGGCTCATGTTTGTGATCCCAGCACTCAGGAAGTTGAGGCAGGAGGATTTCTGTGAGTTCAACGCCAACCTGGGCTATATAGCATAAAACCGTGTTCCTAAAACAAAGGCAGTAGTGGGAGCTGTCACAAAGAGAGATTATTTCATAACTGGCATAGATAGTTGCCAATAATAGACTTGCCCTTTCACAGAGGGAAATAAAAGCTCTTAATGATTTTTTAAACTGGAGTCGAAATTCAATTTTAATGTAAAATCAATGGTAAACTGCCTGAAGATAAAATAGCAGAAAGTGTTACACTGTAAGAATCCTTTGCTAAAGGGCATTGCGTGAGTGACTCACCGAGAGGGAGGATTAGTCAGTTACTAGGTAGAAGGACACAGGAATGGGGGAAAGCCCTGGCAGGGCTGTGGTCCTGCTCTTCTGAGTGTCGTTCACACCCCAGGCTGTAGTGACGTCCATGTGAGCCTCATAGAGCCCATGGGACACTTTCTCATTCACTCCTAGCAGATTTGGTACAGGAAAACATTTTTATGTAAGGGTTTCTGTATTTTTTAGGTTTTTTGTTTGTTTGTTTGTTTTTACAAACTTGTTATATTCTGTTAAATAAAACAGAATACCAACAACATGGTGGTCATAAAGAATGATTCACCCCTAGAATGGGAAGAACGTTTCCTTTCATAGGTAAAATGCTGAGCTGGAAATTGGAAAAAAAATGCTTTAGAACGGGTGGAACTGTAAGAATGGACCGAGTCTGATTATAACAACGCACTGCTCTTTAGAGCAGGAATTACCTTAAAGGAAAGCATTTGCCGCAGTCATAGTCACCCTGGGCCAGCTGCGCTGTAGTCATGGGAACCGAAGGCCCATCAACTGAGTATTCTAGCTATTGGTGACTCGTTGACTCCTCTTACAGTTTCCTTTTGGATATCGTCTTAGTTAGGTTTTCTATTGCTGTGAAGAGACACCATGACTGCGGCAACTCATAAGGAAAAACATTTAATAGGACCTGTTTACAGTTTCAGAGGTTTAGTTCATTATCATCGTGCGGGGCATGGAGGCGTGTGGGCAGGCATGGTGCTGGAGAAGGAGCTAAGAGTTCTACACCTTGATCCTCAGGAGCAGAAGCAACTGTGCCACACTGGGTGTAGCTTGAATGTGATGAGAACTCAAAGCACATCTCCACAGTGGTACACTTCCTACAACAAGGCCACATCTACTCCAACAAGGCCACACCTCCTAATAGTGCCATTCCCTATGGGCCAGGCACTCAAACATAAAAGTCTACGAGGGCAATTCCTATTCAAACTACCCCAGATATCAACTTTAAAACTTTTTTCTCACATATTAAAATATGGCTTATTTTATTTTCAGGTGGTTCAACATTAATATTGATATGGAACTTAATAACAAATCATGGAACTCAAAGCCCAGACTTGACCAATGTGACCTACAGTGAGAGAGTTTGGTTCCAGCTCAGATGATCTTGAAAATAGCCAAATTATTTAATTCTGAGATAAATGCAGAACTCTACTTTGTGTGTGTATCCAAATGTATTTACTCATGTCCCATGTTCCTTCTTGGGAAGGAAAAACTAAATAGCATCAGCAAGATTGGATATAGACCACAAATTCAGAGACTTTTTAATCTTTGTATCTGAGTAACCTCTTCCCTTTAACTGACTAAATTAAGATTAGGCAGTGTATAAAGTTCTTTTATAATAGGAACATAAATCTACTGTATGTCTTTAAATCTACTGTATGGGTATGATACTAGAAATTACAAATTTAAGTGTTTAAAGATCTGATTGGCAGCTTA